GAAGGGCTCCCTCCAGCTGCTTCCCACGGCTGGAGGGAGGTGACGTCCGACAGGGGCACTGGGCGGCGGAACCCACCTGCGGCCTGCCCATCCAGGACCCCATCCCTGTGCCGGTCTCCTTAGCCGTTCTTGTCCTTCACAGCTCAGGAAAAATTACCCAGGACGTTATTGACTCCGATTTTAATTTGTCTAGCACTCTTGCTAATGATGTCTACTTAAGACGTCCATTAAAGGCCCATGAGGTTAATTAAATGGACAAATCCAATACGGTTCTATTAGAGCCCCCACTATTAAATTAATATTATGGACATTTAACAGATGTCTTAATTAGGCATTATGGCTGAGAAACGCAAACTAAATTAAAGCTAAAGCCGTTGTCCAGAAAAGACAAGCTTTTTTTACCGTAATTTATGGGTTCTGGGGGCGGGGGGAGGAGGCATGTTCCTGTTTACTCTTCACCAACCTGAGAGATCGGCCACTGGATGATCTCTCCCAGCATCCAGAAAACGCCAGCCCCGGGGGGTTCCCAAACCTTAGATTGATAGCAGCCCAGACGTCAGGGCTGGACGGAGGGACTTCAGACGCCATCTGGCGTCTACCAGACTCAGACACCACCGGGGATGGGAGAAACCAGCCGGGGTCTCGGATGAACGTGCGGCTCTCTCTGGGGGTCCCACCCCGGAGCCTGGCTCTGTAGGTCCGAGGTGCAGCCCGGGATCCGGCTGCCTTGGACGCTCACGGGGCTGGTTCGGATGCAGGGAGTCCCCAGCACCCCACTCCTGGTGAGGACCAAACTCTGATCTTTTTCTTTTGCTAAAAACTCCTTCCTAAGGAGGCCAGCTGGGTCAGGCTGACAAATTCCCACTAAGCAGCCGGTGGTTGACTTCCCAACCCGATTCTGGTATGGCAGTAACATCACCTAAAAGATAAGAAGGAAGCCCCTGTCTTAACTCAAGCATCCTAGCAGATGCCTAACATAATGCTGGGGGGCTAGACGGCACAACTCCCCGACCTGCTGCGTGGGTTAGGACTTCTCTGGCAATTGCTGCCATCGTCCCTCCCCTCCCACCAGGCTGGGCAGGACCCCAGACACCTCGAGTGGGTGAGACTTGGTGGCCTCACGCCCCTTCCCATGTTCCTTCCTGCCCGGCTGGGCAGACTCACCTCTCCTCCCATTCCTGGTTCCCCCGGCCCCTTGCCCTGACACACTCTTCCCAGCCCACAGCCGCCCAGATCCGGAGCCCCTCACCCCGTGGGCCTTCTCTGCCTGCCCTGCCCACCCGTGTGCACTTCCTCCCCGCACTGGGCTGTGCCTGGCCCCCGGTGGTGAGGGAGGAGCCAGCAGCTCAGCTGTTTGCAAAAACTGAAGGGGACCCTGGTAACGCCCGGGCTCCGGGGACTGAGGCAGCAGCCCTGGATCTACCTCCCTCACTGGGCCGGTTGAGCCAGCTTAGCGGTCCAAGGGCTCCCTAAGAGGGGCCGGGGCCGGGCTGGGCATCCAGCCTTCCCTGGAGGCACAACAGGCCCATCCTGGTTGGGGAAGCTCCGTGGGTCTTATGAGCTGGTCGTGGCCCCCCCCTCCCGTCCCCATTCCTGTGTTGAAGGGGTTAATGCCCAGTGTGAGTGTGTTTGGAGACAGGGTCTTCAAGGAGGTTAAATAAGGTCACAAGCCTGGGGCCCTAACCCAGCAGGACTGGCGCCCTTGTAAGAGGAGGAAACATCAGAGATCTCTCGTCTGTGCACAGAGAGGAAAGGCCGTATGAGGACACAGCGAGAAGGTGGCTGTCCACGAGCAGGGAATACAGCCCTCAGGCCGGGCGCGGCGGCTCACGCCTGTCATCCCAGCACTCTGGGAGGCCGAGGCGGGAGGATCGCTCGAGGTCAGGCGTTCGAGACCAGCCTGAGCAAGACCGAGACTCCGTCTCTACTAAAAATAGAAAGAAATTAGCCAGACAACTAAAAACATATATAGAAAAAATCAGCCGGGCGTGGTGGCGCGTGCCTGTAGTCCCAGCTACTCGGGAGGAGGCTGAGGCAGGAGGATTGCCTGAGCCCAGGAGTCTGAGGTTGCTGTGAGTGAGGCTGATGCCACGATACTTTAGCCGGGCAACAGAAGTGAGACTCTGCCTCAAAAAAAAAAAAAAAGAAATACAACACTCCCTGGAAACCAGCCCTGACTGACAGCACCGTGATGATCTTGGACTTCGAGCCTCCAAAACCGGAGAGAATAGACCTGTTGCTGGAGCACCCCCCCACCTCTGTCTGTGGCAGTTTGCTGTGATGGTCCCCGCGGACTGACACAACAGCCGTGACCCACGCTGCCCGCACTCTCCCCCCCAGGTGCTCCGTCCCAGCTCTGCAGGCCACGGCGGCCCCGGGGAACCGCGGAGGGGCCCCAGGGCCTGCTCATCCTTGGAGAACTGGGCGTCCCTGGGCCGCTGCTTCCTGGCCCTGCAGCCTCCTGTGTCCTGTCTCTCCGGGGGGCCTCTGCGGCCGCTTCCCTGGGGCCCGGGTTTCCCTAGGGCAGGGGTCCTCAAACTTTTTAAACATGGGGGGCCGGCTCACTGTCCCTCAGACCGTTGGAGAGTGCACACCGTGGGCCCGGGACGAGGCAGCTGCTAAGCAGGACAGGCGGCAGGGCGGCACAAACACCTGGAGGGCCGGATGAATGTGCCAGGCGGGCGGCATGTGGCCCGAGGGCCGTAGTTTGGGGACACCTGCTCTTGGGTGCGAAGGTTTCTTGGAGGCAGGTGCAGCTGTGTGTCACGTAGGCCTTTACGCCCAAGGCCTCAGCTCTGCCAGGGTCCTGCTCCTCGGGCAGCGAAGGTGGGAGATATTGGACCGCTAGGTGCCATGTCAGCCCCCGTGAGGAGCCCCGCCCGAGCTGCAGCCCAGGGGGACAGGGCCATCCCCGACCCCCACACCTCGGGAGGGACTCGGGCCTCACCTGTGCCAGTCAGCGCGGCCTCACCGGGAACAGGGCCGGCCCGGCCGCCGGGGAGGATGGTGTGGGCAGGGGGGCCCTGGGGACAGGTGTGGGCGGCAGCTTCGTCATGGCAGGCGAGCACTCTCCCTGAGTCTCCTTGCGCAGAGGAGAGTCGGGGAGAGAGGAGCCTGCAGACGAAACAGCCTCTCACTTGCACGGAAACTTGAGTCCCCGCCAAAGGGAAAACAGATTTCCGTGGCAAGCGGCACCAACAACTTTTCTGGAAGCGACTGCGTATTTACACAACACTGGGCGCCTCTCGCACTGCGGCGGGCGGGCGGGAACGGCTCGGTTCAGGGAGTTATAGCACCTACGCTGCCGCTTTCAGACGGCTGGGAGCAGAGAGGCTTCTTTGACCCCAGAGACAGAGATCTCCCAGGTAATACGGGGGCCACGCCGCCGGGCGCTTTGCCACAGTCTCTCCCACCCTGCAGCTTAAAGCTTCCTCCTAGTCTGGGCGCGGAGGCTCACGCCTGTCATCCTAGCACTCTGGGAGGCCGAGGTGGGTGGATCACGCGAGGTCAGGAGTTCGAAACCAGCCTGAGCAAGAGCGAGACCCCCGTCTCTACTATAAATAGAAAGAAATTAATTGGCCGACTAATATATACAGAAAAAAAAATTATCTGGGCATGGCGGCGAGTGCCTGTGGTCCCAGCTACCCAGGAGGCTGAGGCAGGAGGATCGCCTGAGCCCAGGAGTTTGAGGTTGCTGTGAGCGAGGCTGACGCCACGGCACTCACTCTAGCCTGGGCAACAGGGTGAGACTCTGTCTCAAAAAATAAATAAATAAAAATAAATAAAATAAAATAAAATAAAATAAAATAAAATAAAATAAAATAAAAGCCTCCCCCTAGAGCCAGATTATGAGCTTCAAGCCCCGGTCTACTCCCGGTCTACTCTCAGGCTGGAGGATGCTGCTGTCGGTTAATCCGCCCGCACCAATCAGCCATGAATAAGCACAGCCAGACCTGGCGTTTTGTCTCTGGGTCCCCTCCACCAGCTGTGACTTGTTTTTTTGTTTTTTTTTTTTTGAGACAGAGTCTCACTCTGTTGCCCAGGCTAGAGTGAGTGCCGTGGCGTCAGCCTGGCTCACAGCAACCTCAGACTCCTGGTGCTCAAGCGATCCTCGTGTCGCTCCTGAGTACGCTGGTCTCAGGGCATGCGCCCCATGCTGGGCTCATTTTTTCTGTTATTTTTTTAGTTGTCCGAGCCAATTTTCTTTCTGTTTTTAGTAGAGATGGGGTCTCGCGTCTCGCTCAAGGCTGGGTCTTGACTCTGAGCTCGGAGCCGATCTCCCCGCCTCGGCGCCTTCCAGAGTGCTGGCGAATTACAGGCGTGAGCCGCCGCGCCCGGTCCCGGCTGTAACTTGTGGGATGAGGACGCCTAAAGTCACGTGGCAACTTACGTGACCTTCGTCCGGCTCTCTGAAACAGAAGTGACCCGTGAGGGTCCACAGCCCAGACCACAGCTGGCGTCTTGACGGTGTGTTGCACTTACCATCTTGTTGGGGCACGACCCTTGCCATAGGTGCAGCTCTGGCTGCCCCTTCCCGGGCGAGCACCGGACGCGAGGCTCGCAGGAAGACGTCCTTTATCTTAAAAGGCGTTGACGCCCAAGTGTGTTTTTACTTTTCTGTTACAACCTATCATCACGAACGCTCGAAAGACAGTCCAAAAGGGATAGGCCGGGGCGCAGTGGGCCTCCAAGCCTTTATATCCTGAGCAGCTCTGGAGCCGAGCAGGCGGATTGCTCCAGGTCAGGAGTTCAAGACCAGCCTGAGCAAGAGGGAGACCCGTCTCTACTAAAATAGAAGAGATTAATTGGCCAACTAAAATACATTAGTATATATATATAAATTAGCCAGGCGTGGTGGCACATGCCTTGTAGTCCAGCTACTTGGAGGCCGAGGCAGAGGATTGCTTGAGCCCGGAGTCTGAGGTTGCCGTGAGCGAGGCTGACATGGCCACGGCACTCACTCTAGCCCGGGCAACAGAGCGAGACTCTGCCTCAAAAAAAAAAAAAAAAAAAAAATATACCGACAGCCTGCGATTCAGGCCGACCAGTCTGCAAGTCCTGGTGGGTTCTGCCGCGACACACGGCCAAGATCACCCGGAAACACGGGCCCCTCTGCTCCCCGACGCCCTCACCCGGCACACTGTGCGTCTTTCCCTGGCAGTCAGTGTCCTTCACTCCGGTCTTCACCGGCTGGGCGTTGCCTGTGACCAGGCTGGCTTAACCCTCTCTCTGCTGGAAGGTGGGAATTGGGGGTGCATCTTCAGTTTCCAGCGGTCGACAAAGCGAGGTGGCAAAGAGGTCACAGGTCGATCGTTCCCTTCGCTTTGAACTTCTTGGCAGACCGTTCGCTGGACCGGAGCTGGAACTTGCTCCCGTAGATGTAGGAAACGAAGCCGTCGATTTCCACGGTGAACACGCAGTTAAGCTTGGGGATAACTGGGGGGCGGGGGGCGGAGGGGAGAGGAAAAAAAAAAAAAAGCAGGAGAGAAAAGATGAGGGGAAAAAACCCCAGCAGCATGTTCACTTCCAGGTAGAAAGTACACATTGTTCACAGAACGTGTGCACTAAAAATAAGCTCAGAGGAAGCGGGGAGTCCGGCGCCAGGATCACACGGGGTCACCCTGCCCAAGGCCGGCCTATCCGCTTTCTAAATATAACTCAGCACCTGCTTCTCTTCTCGGGGCCAAAGGTGATTGAACCAAACTCCCGGGAACAGAAACTCCCAGAACAACTGCCAGAAACAGGTTTTCCCACATAACCCATGCTTGGCGTGGGAAACTCCTGTTTACGCCACTTTGTGTTCACACCACTCTCTGCGGTTCATGGGTTCACCAGGTGAGCAAAAGGACGGACAGGGGAGGGGAAGGCAAGGCAGCCACGGGGAAAAACTAAACTTAAAACTGAAAGGCATAAAACCTTCCGAGTGTGGTTCAAAGTCTCAACCGGAGGGCGAGGCGGTGCGTGGATGCCCTGGCGGACCCGGAGTGGCCGCTAGAGCCAGGCCAGCCGCCAACAGGACCCCTTGTGACTCCACTCATGGCCTGGCTCTCCAAACTCCAAAGACGGGTCCCGCTTCGGTTTCCTGTTACCTGTTCGGCTCGACCCCTCTGGCAGGTGGAGGTCCCGGTCCACCCAGGTTTCCATTCCTGAGGCACCACCAGGAAGCTCTTCCCCCTGCTCTGGCTGTGGTCACAAATGCCTCTGGGGACAGCCACGGTGTGTGTATGTGTGTGTGTGTGTGTGTGTGTGGTCCCCACAGGCTTGGCACGTAGGGCCAGTAAGTACCGTGTTTCCCCGAAAACGAGACAGGGTCTTCTATTTATTTTCCCTCAAGAAGACACCCTAGGGCTTATTTTCAGGGGATGTGCTATTTTTTTTTTTTAAGTGCAGTACAACCATCTACATTGATTCAAACAGAGGGAAGCCGTCTTCTTCTGGAACATCATCATCACTCTCCAAACCCCGAATCCCATCCTGAATGTCTTGCGACTCTGTTTCCTTTAGAACCATCGGCCCCGATCTCCCGTCGAGCCACAGAGCTCTCACGGGGCGGATGAGAAGGGCTGCTCGTGTTCTTACCCGATCTGCTTTGACGACACGCACGGGTTGTGCAGACGCGCTGCGCAGCCACGCCCGTCGCTAGGGCTTATTTTCGGGGTGGGGGCTCATATTGCGCAAATGCTCAGACATCCTGCCGGGGCTTATTGTATGGGTGGGTCTTGTTTTCGGGGAAACACGGTAGCTGTGATCCGTGCCGGTGAGAGGCCAAACTGAACCCCGGGAGCCCCCGAGAAAGGGCAGACGCAGCGGCCGGGGAGGTCACAGCCCACGGCGCCCAGGGAGAGACCGCCACCTACCTTTCAGGCAGTCGTCCTTGGTGATGATTTTGAAAACGTGCTTTGTTTCCTGCAGGAGGATCCCTGTGACGCCCACGTAAGAGGGGCACCTGGATTTCGTGACTGCAGAGGGAAAAAGATGGTTCAAGGCCCTGCCCTCTGGGGTGTGTGTGTGTGTGGGGGGGCACAGATGGGCAGGGGAGGCTGGTGTCACGCCCTCTGAGCGGGCAGGGGAAGGAAGAGAGCACCCAGGGGGTGGAGGCTCGGCCGTGGGTGCACTGGCCGCCCTGGACAAGAGCCCCGGCTGCCCAGTCCCTTGCCTGGGGGCTTGGTGGTCTCTCTGAGCTGTTCTCACTGGGGTCCTTCAGAGGACCGTGGCCGTGGGGGTCTTGGGCGGGATTCTGGAGCATAGAGGTCACACGTAGGCCCAGCACCATCCAGGAGCAGGCTTCTGCCTCTGTTTTTTTTTTTTTTTTTTGGAGACAAGAGTCTCACTCTGCTGCCCGGGTTAGAGTGCCGTGGCATCAGCCTCGCTCACAGTGAGCTCCAACTCCTGGGCTCAAGCGATCCTCCTGCCTCAGTCTCCTCCTGGGTCGCTGGGACTACAGGGATGCACCATCATGCTCAGCTAATGTTTTCGATATATTTGTAGTTGGCCAATTAATTTATTTCTATTTTGAGTAGAGACGGGGTCTCGCTCTTGCTCAGGCTGTTTTCGAACTCTTGACCTTAAGCGATCCTCTGGCCTCGGCCTCCCAGAGTGCTGGGATTATAGGCGAGAGCCACCGCTCCTGGCCTGTGAGTTTTGGCTGCTGGCATTTCTAGGGGCCGAGTTTCCTTAACGAAGGGCCCGCCTGCGTGGGTGGCCGGTGACAGACTCCTGGAGCTCAAGGGATCCTCCCGCCTCGGCCTCTTGAGCCAGGGCGCCCGGCCTGCCCGAGTGCTCTTAGGTGAATTACCTGAAATCGCAGCGCCGTGAAGATCCGCCTTCAGCAGCTTGGCCTGGATCATCTGCGGAGGCCTAGGAGGAAAACAGAGCCCTTGGCTCACACCACGGTAACTAACGAACGGGCTCCGAAAGACGCCGGCCCCTGCAGCCCGGCACCCAGACAGCCGCTTCCCAGAGCTGCGCTCAGACGGCCCTGGCACCTGGGACCTGCCCCAAGGGGCGGAGCTTCGGGGGCACGACTCACGTATCTGGCTTGAGGCCGTTGCACAGGTCCCGCACGTACTGTTTCCAGAGCTGGTGCAGAGGCAGAAAAAGGCTGTACCTGCAGGAAGGGCAAGAACAGGCGGGGAACTCAGGGGGCCACGAGAACTCAGGGTCCCAACGTCCCAACAAGCACAGGGCGTGGCTGGGCGCCAAGAGCCACGACCTGGGGGCCATCAGGGACCGCGGCGGGCGAGTCCTGTTCCCCCACTGACCATCTGGCACTGGCAGAACCTTCCCGAGGCCAAGTCCCTGAGGACTCGAGGAGGGAGGAGTGGCCTTCGTCCCTCCCTCTTTCCTGCTGGCCAGATGCGGCCGCGATGGCCGGAGCGCAGGCAGCCGGCTCAGCCCCGGAGGAGCAGCTCATGGAGGACGTGGGCTTCCCGGGTCAGAGGCTGGGCAGCTGGCCGCTACGCCGGCCCAGGGCGGTGTTCACCTGGGCCTTTTCTCACGAGACAGACAGGAACTTCAGCCTTGTTTAAGGCAGGGTCATTGGGGGGGTTTTCTTATGACCTGAAAACGAACTTGGGGCCGGGCGAGGTGGCTCACGCCTGTCATCCCAGCACTCTGGGAGGCCGAGGAGGGCGGATTGCTCGAGGTCAGGAGTTTGAGACCAGCCTGAGCAAGAGCAAGACCCCATCTCTACTATAAGTAGAAAGAAATTAACTGGCCAACTAAAAATATATAGAAAAAAATTAGCCAGGCACGGTGGCGCATGCCTGTAATCCCAGCTACTCGGGAGGCTGAGGCAGGAGGATTGCTTGAGCCCAGGAGTTTGAGGTTGCTGTGAGCGAGGCTGACGCCACGGCACTCACTCTAGCCCGGGCAACACAGTGAGACTCTGCCTCAAAAAAAAAAAAAAAGTATTGTTTTAGTCCTAATAATTTGTTAAGTTGCTATGATTTCAGATCTGTCATTTTTTTCAAATAAAACTATATTAATTCATTTAAGAAGTATTTATCGAGGCCAAGTGCAGTAGCTCACGCCTGTCATCCCAGCTCTCTGGGAGGCCGAGGCGGGAGGATCGCTCGAGGTCAGGAGTTCGAAACCAGCCTGAGCAAGAGCGAGACCCCGTCTCTACTATAAATAGAAAGAAATTAATTGGCCAACTAAAAATATACAGAAAATCTTAGCCGGGCGTGGTGGTGCATGCCTGTAGCCCCAGCTACTCAGGAGGCTGAGGCAGGAGGATCGCTTGAGCCCAGGAGTCTGAGGTTGCTGTGAGCGAGGCTGACGTCACGGCACTCACTCTAGCCCGGGCAACAGAGTGAGACTGTCTCAAAAAAAAAAAAACAACAAAAACCCCAAAAAAGCCACATTGGTTCCCCTTTCCTGCCTTACAAAGAGAAAGACAGACAGACAGCCCGTTGCCACAGCAACGGATGCACTCTGGGCACCAGCCCCCGCGGTCAAGGCGGGGAGGACTGCAGCCAGAGCCCTCCCCATCTCACCGCGGCCACCTGTGCAAGTCGGCCACCTGTGCAAGCCCGACGCGGACGGACTGGTAAAGGGAGGGCGCCCCCGTGTGGCGGACGGCGGGACGGCGGCTTCCCCGGCGCAGGTGGCGCGCAGGGGCCCCGCGGGGAAGGCTGAGCCCCCGCAGGTGGGTGGGGAAGGCTCACCTACCTCTGCTGCTCCGGCTTGATGTCGAAGAGCCGCAGCTCCCTCCTCTGCCTGGCGGAGAGGCCCTTGGCTTTCTTTCTCCGGTCCCTTCGCTTGGGGCGGGCGAAGTACTCGAGCACGACGGCCTTGCGCTGCAGCTGGTCCTCGCGCGCCTGCTGGCTCATGCGGGGCGTGCAGCGCTTCAGGAAGGCCCTCACGAAGGCCTCGCACCGCTGGGCTCCCGAGTGCTGCGGGGGGCAGGGGCGGGGGGCAGGGGTGGGGTCCCAGCACGGCCACCTGCCGCTCCCCCTGGAGCCATGGCAACAGCCTGGGCTGACCCCACCTGCCGGGTTTCCCCCAAAATAAGACCTACCCATAAAAAACAAGGAGCCCTAGCAGGATTCCTAGGCATGTGCGCAATAGAAGCCCCGGGGTTTAGGAGAGGGATGATGATGTTCCAGAAGAAGACAACTTAACTATATTTGTTTTTTCTTTATTTTTTTTTAATTTATTTTTCTTATTTTTTTTTTAATTTTTAATTTTTTAGTTGGCCAATTAATTTCTTTCTATTTTTAGTAGAGGCCAGGGTCTTGCTCTTGCTCAGGCTGGTTGCGAACTCCTGACCTTGAGTGATCCGCCCGCCTCGGCTTCCCAGAGTGCTAAGATGACAGGCGTGAGCCACCGCGCCCGGCCATTCTTAACTATATTTGAATAAACACAGATGGTTGTACCGTACTTAAAAAAAAAAACACATCCCCTGAAAATAAGCCCTAGGGTGTCTTCTTGAGGAAAAATAAATATAAGACCCTGTCTTATTCTCGGGGAAACACAGTATCTGCCCGCTGAGGCTCAAACACATTCTCACATGCCACGTGTGGCACTCTTGCGACTGTTGGGACATTCACGTGCCAGCGTGTGACAGTCTGTCACACACGACGGCCACATCAAACACTGGCCCCCTGTCCTGCTTCTCTGAGGTTATTCTGATGAGGATCAAAAAGCCTTTACGGCCGGGCGCGGTGGCTCACGCCTGTCATCCTAGCACTCTGGGAGGCCGAGGTGGGTGGATGGCTCGAGGTCAGGAGTTCGAGACCAGCCTGAGCAAGAACGAGACCCCGTCTCTACCATAAATAGAAAGAAATTAATTGGCCAACTGATATATATATATAGAAAAAATCAGCCGGGCATGGTGGCGCACGCCTGTAGTCCCAGCTACCTGGGAGGCTGAGGCAGGAGGATCGCTTGAGCCCAGGAGTCTGAGGTTGCTGTGAGCGAGGCTGACGCCACGGCACTCTAGCCTGGGCAACAGAGTAAGACTGTCTCAAAAAAAGACCATCTCAGGTCCAGCTCCCACCCTCTGCAACGTAAAGCAGCAGCGTCAAGTAACCGTGAATGAGCACAGGCTCTTGTGGGTCGTAACTGTCATAATTGTGTGTAATTCTGGAAAAAACTGCAGGCATCACTGCCTGTCAAGCTGGAGTTCCAATGGCCTATTCCTCTCCATTTGGCAGTGGCACCCTGCCCTCTCCTCTCCCACAGCCTGGGAATCACTCCCGAGCTGACGTCCTGCCTCTTGGCCATTTCCGGGGCCCTTTATGCAGTAACTGGAGTATAAATACTAAGACTGAAGTTAACTGACATATCGGTGCTAATCTGTCAAGAGTAACCAAGCCCCCCCATTCCCTGGGAGCGAAGCAGAAATGAAAACACGATACACATAATCTTCGAGGTAGACAGACCACAGTAAGGACGGCAGGAACTATGTCTGCTTCAGCTTTGCACCTTTAGATGCTAACTAAAAATAAATTCATCATCATCATTAGTACTACAAGAGGACAGTGATTTGACTCTTTAAAAACATATCTAAGTTGCCCCTTAAATATGTAAGTGGTCCCCCTCTTTCATGGGGAAGTAAATTAAAGGTAAACCGGTCTTTCGAAATCTTGATTTCAAGGGAATGCTCTTGTTATGAGCCACAAATGCAGCTTTTGCCAAACTGACAAAATGTGTTGAAGCATCCAGATATAATCTGTAAGTTCCACGTATGACATTCAACTTGCATGCCATTCAACTTGCATGCCTTCTTCAGAAATGAAGAGGACACAGTGACAAGGTCAAATGCTGGTGCTCACCAGGTGGGCATGGCTTGACGTCCCCTACATAGCGGGAGACGACATGAACAAGTCTTAGTTTACGAAACTTGACTTTGAGACAACGGGAAAGGAGGCTGGTATGTTAGGAATAACAGAGTAACAGACCCTGATCGAGCCTAAGATGTCTACTGGAAAAATGAGGAGTACGTCGTGGATGAGGACATCTAAACCAGAACTCGAGGCTTAGAAGCCACCAAGAGCCATCTTTGCCGTCACCTCTGTTGCTCCCAGACCAAGAACTGTACCTGAACACCGACCTCCTTTGCCTCTTTCTGAGAAAAGGCATGGTAGACCACACCTGGGGGATCTAAAAAGAAAAAAAAAAAAAAAAGGAGACACGATCAATTCTTATTGGGTATGGCTACAAGACCCAAGAGTTTTCTAACTACAAAAAACAACTATGCTTATTCAGAGATAGGAGAAGATGGGGTTGGTACAAAGAGCAAAGCTTCAAAACCTTCCTGGTTGCCTCTTTTTTTTTTTTTTTTTTTTTGAGACAGAGTCTCACTTTGTTTCCCAGACTAGAGTGAGTGCTGTGGCATCAGCCTAGCTCACAGCAACCTCAAACTCCTGGGCTCAAGCGACCCTCCTGCCTCAGCCTCCCGAGTAGCTGGGACTATAGGCATGCACCACCATGCCTGGCTAATTTTTTCTCTCTCTATATATATTAGTTGGCCAATTGATTTCTTTCTATTTTTATAGTAGAGACGGGGTCTCGCTCTTGCTCAGGCTGGTTTTGAACTCCTGACCTTGAGCAATCCGCCTGCCTCGGCCTCCCAGAGTGCTAGGATTACAGGCGTGAGCCACCCTGCCCGGCCCCGGTTGCCTCTTATCTTGCCCTCTGGCCACATCGACCCTAGAAGTTCTAAGGGTACGGTTAAAAAGAGTGCTTCTCAGAATTCAGTGTGTGTAAAAAACTCTGGGATCTTATTAGAATGTAGTTTCTTGTTCCTCACTCCCAGATCCTGCATTTCTAACAAGTTCTCAAGTGCTGTGGCAGGTTAGTGGATCGTATTTTGGGTTGCACTGGTTTAAAGTACCACACGTTTAGAAGTTCGAGCAGTCGTTCACTAAGTCTAACGAAGTAACTCATTTAACAGTTATATGATACAGCTGTCCAGGATGCAGGTGGATGGACATAAAATTTTGCTGTTTGTAAGATGTTCAAGAAAGGGCTTTTCACATTTTAATCTATGAAATTGGAATGTATCATATAATTGATGGTGTCCTGAACTGATAAAATACGATAGGTCTTCAGACTCAAAATACATATTGATAGATGTGGTTTCAACCTCTAAAACGATTCCACACTCCTGTTTCTTACTTAGTCTGAATAAGAAAACTGTGGCATTGGAGACAGAGGACAGGTGTGAAAGGAGTAAGAATGGGACAAGGGCCTGGTGTAAGGGCCAAATGACTCCAAAATTCGATTCGCACTACACTGTAAATTTCATCCCGGCTCTCTTGCGATTCCCTGAGCATGCTTGAGCAGCAAACCAAGCTGGTTTCGAGTTTTATATAGAGTCTAGTTCTCCCTCAAATGGAAGATGGGGATGATAATCTATTTGCAGAGAGCAAGTTGAAGGGCCTGAAACCCCAGGAATGACTTCGCTTCACCTGTTGCAGGTGCTCAGCATCAAGTCTTTCTGCAACAATACACATCTAGCAGTTATTTGAAGACTCATTACTTGCCACACACGCGATTAAAGGCTACACATAATTTAACTTAAGTGTAATTAAGTGCAATTTAATTACACTTATGCACATGAGAAATTGAAACTCAGATATGCTGAGACCCTAATCTTTTTTTTTGAGGCAGAGTCTTGCTCTGTTGCCCGGGTTAGGGTGCCATGGCCTCAGCCTAGCTCACAGCAACCCCAAACTCCTGGGCTCAAACGATTCTTCTGCCTCACCCTCCTGAGTTGCTGGGATTACAGGCATTCACCACCCGTACCCGGATAATTTTTTCTATATATTTTTAGTTGTCCAGCTAATTTCTTTCTATTTTTAGTAGAGACGGAGGTCTCGCTCTTGCTCAGGCTGATCTGGAACTCCTGACCTCGAGCGATCCTCCCGCCTCGGCCTCCCAGAGTGCTGGGATGACAGGCGTGAGCCACTGCGCCAGGCCGAGACGCTGATCTTGATCATACAGGTAGGCAATGGCAGAGGTGAAAAGCCAAAATCCTGACCAAAGGCCCGGTTTTAACAGTGTCTACACTCCCCTGCCCTGTTGCTGGCTCCCCTGCTTGGGAGCCCCATCTCTTCTCCGCGCCAAGACCCAAAGCTCTGGGTTCGAGAACGCGGTTCACAACAATCCCTGCTCGTTCTGCAGCAGCTCCCAGCGTTTCACATCACACAGGGGTGGAAGACCAGGTAGAAAAGGGGCAGGGCCTCGACCGCCGGGCCAAGGCCGTGGGCCCTGCTCTAGCACCGCTCACACCTGAGCAGCCCGGGGAGAACCTGGCTGCTTCCAGCCCTCCCATCAGCACCTAGCTCAGCGACTGCCGTGCACTCGGGCCCTCAGTTTCTCTTGGGTCAGGTGCGGCAATCCCCGCAGCGACAGGCAGCCCGCACCCATTCCCCTCTCCCCCATCACCAGCACCACTTCCCCGACCCGTAACATCCCCGCATGGCCCCGCTTACTCTTCATTTTCGGGCCGCTTCCGGGGCGCTCTGATGACGTATCCTTCAGTTACCGCGCGCTCCTTCCCTTTCTCCACTTAGTTCAGCCGCGCGGCGGGCGCCGGAAGCGCTCGGAACTCGGAGGCGGCGCGGCTTGTGACGTCACGCCCGTGCGCCGGCGCACGGGTGGGCGCGACGGCGTCCTCGTTGCTTGGGGCCTTTCGAGCTCGTGTCCTTTGTACCCTGAGCTGTAGCCTTGGCGACCCCGTCAGGACCCGGAACGGGGATATTTCCTCGTGGAGGAGCCGCGGGACCTCCAAGGCGGGGTGCGGCCCTCGCGGAAGACGGAGCAGCCGCCCGAAATACTCACTGCAGCGTCGCCGCCATGGCTGGATCTTCCCAGGGCCCCGGACGCTCTTGTTCCCGTCCCCCTCGGGCCGCGTTTTCCTCTCGCTCTCTCCCTCGTTTCCCTCTCCCTCGGCCTGGCTTGGGGCCTCTGGAATACGGGGCTCCATCCCCGTCCGTGCTGAGCTTTGAGAGCCCCCCTCTGACGGACCAGGGCGCATGGGTGGGCGCCGGGACCCGTGGACCCGGAGCGCAGCTGCTGGGGTGACCTGCCGCTGGCCCGGAGGTTCCTGGTTCCTCCTTTCTTCCTCTTTTCTGTTGAGTCCTCATCCCCCAGACTCCCGTTCCCCTGGTGGTCTCTGGGAGCCCCCTGCAGCCCTATTCCCCTCAACCAAAGCACCCTTGCTCCCTCCGGCTGGAAACGGTCCATCTCGACCAGGGACTTGTCCCATCCCGAGCAGACCTAGTGGCTCCGAGGCTCTCCCTGGCAGAGGACCATTGAGTGGTGGGGGTGTCGGCTCTGCAAACGGGCGCAGGGGTTGGGAGGCTCGCAAGTCTCTTTTTCTCCTCCCTCTTTCTCTCTCTCTTCTTTTTTTGGGACAGAGTCTCACTCTGTTGCCAGGGCTTGAGTGCCGGGGCATCAGCCTAGCTCACAGCAACCTCAGACTCCTGGGCTCAAGTGACCCTGCTGCCTCAGCCTCCCGAGTAGCTGGGACTACATGCATGCGCCACTGTGCCCGGCTAATTTTTTTTCTATATATTTTTAGTTGGCCAATTCATTTCTTTGTATTTTTAGTAGAGACGGGGGTCTCCGCTCTTGCTCAGGCTGGTTTCGAACTCCTGACCTTGAGCGATCCTCCCACCCTGGCCTCCCAGAGTGCTGGGATGAGAGGCCTGTGAGCCACCGTGCCCGGCCCCTCTTTCTCTCTCTCTTTTTTTTTTTTCCTTCTCCTAATCTTTCCATGTGGACCGGCCCCTCTTTCTCTTTCCACTCTTCTTTCTCACATTTCCCTCTTAGGAGTCACTTTCCCTTTCAATCTGGCTCCTTGTCTGAGATCCGCCCAAAATTTCCTACTCTCCTGTGTCTTCTTCCTAGAACAAAAGGGAAAGGTTTTTCCCCTTTACTTCCCTTTTAATCGCACCCTGTTGTCCAACCAGAATCAAGCATTCTTCGTTTTTTTCTAGTCCGGGGAATTCCTCCCAGACAGAACACCGGGTGTGTTTTCCTTTTCTCAAGGCTCTCCCCAAGCTCTTTACTTCATTACACTTGAACTCCTCACCAGAATACCAGTGGCTCACGCCCTCTTCATTTCACCCAGCTATCCAAGAGCTTCCCTTCCACATGCTTTTCCATAGCCCTGTTCCTTCCACCCCTTCTCCTCCTAATTTGGGCCCTTCTGGCCTGGGCAAAGGTAGAATTATTGCTGTTGTCTGACAGCTCGATCCTTCAGCTTTTGCTTTCTCCTCCTTCTGACACCCTGGGCTCCAAACAGGGCAAAAGCAAATCTAAGCAGTGGGGACCTTGTTTCTCGAGGGCGGAAGGTTTTAGCTTGATATCTGCCTCCCAGCCAGGCAGGTGCAAGTCAGGTGCAAGTCAGGTGCACTCTCGTAACTACAGACATGGAGCCTGTCCCTTACCTTGCAGTCACACATAAGGAGCCCACCCCCTACCAGCTTGTGCACCACTGCTTCTGTTGTTTCTGTTTTCCCCTTAGGCCCCCAGGGACCAAGATTCCGTCACCCAAAGGAACCCTGGGCTGACTGCTGGTCCCAAGGAGTCTCAGATTACGTAGAGGTTCCTTTACAGAGGTTTTGCCCTACTGTGGGACTCCCAACCGAGGGTCATAGAAGGGGCAGAGTTAGACATGGGCCACACTCCCAGTTAGCATTCTCTCTCAGGCAATTTAAGCTGGATAACCTAAAGAAAAAGCAGCTGGTCTTATTTTGTAATAACTTCTTGGCCTCAGTATGCACTGGGAGACCAAGAGCAGTGGCCATTAAGTGGGTCTCTTAATACTGTTTTATAGCTAGACTTGTTTTGCAAACAGTCACAGAAATGGGGAGAAATCCTCTACGTGCAAGCTTTTATGAAATCGTATCTAGATCCTGAATGACGGGACTCGTTGCGTACGTGTGGTATTTACCACGCCCAGATCATCTCCCGAGGCTGAAGAGCCAGAGCCAGATCTGCTCACTGATCCACTTTTCCAGCTGCCTCCCCAATCTCCCTGGACCCGAGTCTGGTCTGCGGGAGCCTGTTAACCCTCCTTCAGCCTCCAAGCCAACCATACCTGGATCAGGTCCCCAAAGAGCCTTTCAGGCCAGAGCCCACAAGGCTGCAGCCCCCACCGCTACTCCCAGTGGGGTTTCAGAGTGGCACCTGCCTTTACCTCCCCACTGGCCCTGGGGTCCTTATTGCCTAAGGGAGACAGCCAGTGGTCAGCAAGTGATGTGGGTTCGTGCCCACTTCTCCATGGCAGATCTGAAAGCTCTGGCAGGTTCTCAGAGGGCCCTGATAAATTTAGGAAATAATTTGTAAAGCAGAGTCTGAACTTTACCTTAACCTGGCAAGCCGTGATGGTGATTTTAGCCAGTTGTTGCACCCCAGATGAAAAAGCTGCTTTGTACAGGCAGATACCCCACATTCTGTTTATCGGGGGAGGCAATCCCAGAGCCGGACCCCCTGGTGGGGGTTCTTGGAGGTGAGATAGGCAAACATAAGATAGTCACTTTATCACCTGCACAGTTGAAGGAAGGAGGAAATGCATGAGGAAGCCTGTCAATTATGACAAGGCTAGGAAAGTCACCCAGATCAGGAAGGGAAAAAAAAACAAAACAGCAGTCTTCTTCCACCATGTTACTGAAACCAGAAATTATACCAATGTTGACCCAGAATTGTCAGAAGGAAAGGCCTTGCTACTATGCATTTTATCATCACTCCAGTCTGTTCTGGAGAAGAAAGCTACAAAAGTTAGAGGCAGGACCTGAAACCCTCACTGTCCACATTGCTAGAGGAGGCTTTTAAGGTTTTCAGAAACAGGGACAGGAAGAGAAAGATGACCAGCTAGTAGTTAAGAAAATGCAGCTCTTGGCTGCCTTGATTAACCCGCCACCTTGTGGCAACCCAAAGAGGCAGAGAGGTCCGGCTGGGACGAGAGATGTCTAGCCATCGTGGGACCCAACCAAATGCACTTATTGCCGGAAGGAAGGATGAGCATTGGAAAAGGGACTGTCCCAATCGCCCCAAAATGGGGAGATGAGCCGATTTCCCAGCCAGAAACCCCCTTCTTGTCCAATCTCTCTGAAGGGAGAGCTGGTGCCTCTGAATGACAGGATCCCAGAGCCTGCCCGGCTCTGACTTCCACCATCCTCATTCCTTGCGGGTCCTCAGGAGCTACGAGCTGTGGAAGGAATGGAGGACACAGCTGTAGCACACACCGGGAAGCCCATTGGTCCTTCCTTTTGGAGCCTGAAAGGCTGTAAGGGACGTCCTTGTACCTTTCCCAGCAGGAGCCAAGACGAGGGCTGTAGTTGGGTGATGGGACCCTGTGAGGGGACAGACAGCTGGAGGTGCCCAGGAAGTGCATCCTTCAGCCTTTTGACAAAGGTTGAGGCTGGGCACGGTGGCTCACACCTGTCATCCTAACACTCTGGGAGGCCGAGGCGGCGGGATGATCGCTCAAGGTCAAGAGTTCGAGACCAGCCTGAGCAAGAGTGAGACCCCCATCTCTACTAAAAATAGAAAGAAATTGAGGCTGGGCGTGGTGGCTCATGCCTGTAATCCTAGCTCTCTGGGAGGCCGAGGTGGGTGGATCGTTTCAGTTCAGGGGTTCGAAACCAACCTGAGCAAGAGCAAGACCCCGTCTCTACTATAAACAGAAAGAAATTAATTGGCCAACTAATACATATAAAAACAATTAGCCGGGCGTGGTGGCCCATGCCTGTAGTCCCAGCTACTCGGGAGGCTGAGGCAGGAGGATCGCTTGAGCCCAGGAGTTTGAGGTTGCTGTGAGCTAGGCTGACACCACTCGGTGGCACTTTAGCCCGGGTGACAGAGTGAGACTCTGTCTCAGAATAAAAAAAAAAAAAAAAGAAAGACAAAGGTCGAGCCAGCTATGAAAGCCATTTTCCTATTAAGGAATATTTTCCTATTAACGAGGTTGCCTCAGTGCCTGAAGAAGAGCTCGCTTTAATGTTAATTTGGCCATTTGGACCGTGACAGGTCCGGGAGGGCTTACCACGTTAGACATAAAGGCTGCCCCGTGTGCGGCAGGGCCCACGCCCGTCGCTGGGTGGCAGGCTGACACAGGAAACGCCACGGCGGCTGGCCGGCGGCTTCTTCCCAAGCCCGGAGTCACTTCCCCTCCACGCCTGTCAGAAACCCAGTTTATCAGCCACTTCAAAGGATCACAGCCCTTGTGCCCAGAGACTGCGCACATCCGGGAGCCGCGTTTATTTCTCTGCAAGCAATGCAACTGAATTTTGATCAACAGTCCAGAGCAGGCAGCACGGAGTCCAGCGATTTAAATAAGAGAGGTTAGAAGGAGAGAAATTACAAGCCCCTGGGGAAGAGGCGTGACTGCCGGTGACATCCAGAAATTGGGGGCAGGTGCCCAGGTGGAGGGAGGGCGGCCAGGAGCGACCCCCGACGGCAGGGTTCAAGGGTTGCCAGGACGAAGGCCAGGGGTCGATTGGCACTGATTTCCACTCCAGTCTGGTGGGTTTTTTTTTTTGTTTTGTTTTTGTTTTTGGAGGTGACCTTTCTCCCCTTTT